GCTGGCATCTTCGTAAAAGAACAAAGAAGCGTAGGGCCAAAATCGAACTAAGTCAACCTAAAACTCTGACCTTTTCGGAAAAGAAAAAATCGAACTAAGTCAACCTAAAATTCCTTTGTTAATCTACGAAGAAGCCAACCCATGACTTAAGCCAATCAAAAAAGCTGTTTATGTACTCTCACCTTAATTGATATTCTGAGGGTGTAATGAAAGGAACACATAAATAATACTACATGCCAACATATGTTGTACAAGATAATTGCAAAGCAAGTACGACCTAATTTAAATACGTCTCTGGTAGTTATTTATGCTTTTAAGGTAGGAATACATTAAAAGCTTTTTTAAGTGACTTGAGGCATCGTCTGGCCTCTTCGGAAAAGAAGAAATGAGTTTTAGGTTGACTTAGTTCGATTTTGGCAATCCATTGTTCTTTTTTCCGAAGAAGCCGGTCGATGACTTAAGCCAGCCAAAAAAGCTATTTATGTCTTCTCACCTCTACTGGTATATTGTGAACATAATCTTTAAGTCAGAAGCTGTCAAGAGATGCTATATTGACACTGGCACTAAATTAAGAGATAGAGCACGTTTAGACTACTAAATCCACTTTCAGATGTCGATTCAAATGTATACGTCATGTAAACCGTACAGGATGAGATAAAAAATGCTAAAAAGTCAACGCCATAATTTTTTTTTAATTTTATTGAATGAAAGCAAAAAATGTCGGAAATAGCAACAAATTTTAGAATAAGTTTAGATTTTTTCGAATTGGTCACCTTTGGCACAAATTATGGCCTTAAAACGGCCAATGAAACCGTCACACGCTCCCCGAATGTTGCTCCGCTGTATTTTGGCCAATTCCCGGTGAAACGCTTGCTTGAGGTGATCGACACTTTGTTTTTTTTTTTTTTCATGCCAACCTTGCTTTCCAAAATACTCCAGGCACAATTGTCCAACGGAGTGGTATCCGGAGATTTTGTTGGTCATTGTGCGCTGGAAATGAAGCGAGCAACCTCATTTTGTAACCATTCTTGGGTGGCGCGTGCTGAGTGCGATGATGCTGAGTCCTGTTGGAATGTCCAAGGTTGCGGCCAAAATGTATGGGTGCCCCACCCTTCAGAATATTTTCGCTATAATATTCGGCATTTATTCTGATGCCACGGTCGATTAATACGAGCGGAGAGCGACCATCGGCTGTTATGGCGGCTAACACCATTACCATGGACGGCGCTTGGTGGCTTCTGGTGGCCAACCGAAGGTGCAGATTTTCAGCCGACCTCTTTGCCAAGTAAACACGATCATTTTGTTTGTTTACAAACTGCTGGACAACGAATGTCAAGGTAAGCAACTCTTTAGCTCTTTTAAGTCTATTTTCTTTCTGTTGCGGTGTAAGTTCTTGCACTTTTTTGAATTTCAATGGCTTTACCCCGAGCTCATTTTTGAAATATTGCGATATATTCAGCTCACGAGCCATTTTTCGACCACTGCGACGCGGGTTTTGATCAAGTCGCTTCTTTACTTTTCGAACCATTTCTGCTGATGTTGCTGTTTTCTTCCGGCCACTTCCTTGACATCGGGCTACGTTACCAGTATCGCACGGTAACGAGCGATGGTACGAGACACAAAAGATTTATTCACATTTAAATGCTGGAGTACTCGAACCATAGCCACTTGTGGTTCTCCAGCCAAATAGAAAGAAATCACACTATCACGCCTGAATTCCATCACGAATAACTTTTTTTCTGGAAATTTCTCACCGAAATGCTTTTATGCGCTTGTAAACAATGTAGTGAGCTGTCACTGGAATAATTTTAACAGCTGTCGGACGAGTGGCTTAGAAATGACAGAAGTCTGAAATTGATTGCAGTTTTTTTTATCTCACCCTGTACAAATGACAATTTAAATAAGGTATTTTATTAAATCATTTATTTTACGAAACAAGGATTTTGTATCTCCCTCAACTTTAAACACAAACTTTCATTACATATTTCCATTAATTAAATACTCCCATCTCTGCTCAATAAAATATTTTCATTATTTAATAATTGTTGTCAGCTATTTTTTTTCGTCTTCCTATTGAAAATCAATTAACAATATATCTATATAGTATTTATAAATAACAACAACGTATTAGATTACATTGCCGACGTCATTCATTGACCACGAAAGTTAGTGCCGGTAAGAATTTGCATCAAACGTATTAGCCGATGCCCTACAACAAATGAGATATAAATACACATGTGATAAATAAAAAAGTGGGTGTATTGGCACTTGGATAAATGTAGTTGCTAAGGTGGTTGGGGGGTTTTGATAACAGAAACAAAAGTAATGGCCAATAATGAAGTAATACGTTGTTTGGCGCCCAATCGACAGAGTCATATTTATTGCCTTTTGGGAAACTGATGACCAGTTTTTGATATTTTCTAGCATTGTTATTTGAAATATTACCCTTTGATTATCCCAATCTTGGTAGAAAACTCATTAGCTTCACCTACCATCAAAGTTTCAGAATACAATACAAATTTTGTTTACACAAGTTGACTAAAGATTCTCATTAAATGTGTGTGTGTTTCATTTTTTTGCATTCCACCATCAGTTCGTATCTAACTTTTTGTTTACATTGTAAGCAAATTACATGCACATATAATTTTACATTCCACCCTCTTCCAATTCGTTACCACAACATATCTTGTTATGATAACATTTTTGATGCAAATATTTAAGTAAATTTACTTACAATTTTTAATTGAGATTGTCCTCAATTATAACGATCTACATTTGATATCTTTTGCGGGACAACACAACACAAAACTATAATCAGAGAAACACAGAAAATTAATTAGTTGTGACATTGTACGCTTAAAAATGGCAAGTCATAGACATTGATGCACTTATGGGCATATGTACGTCATCTTATTTATGTCATTGTTGTTATAATTTAATTTTGAGTTTGGAAGAATTTAATAATTGGGGAAATCTGCTTTGAGATAGTAATTGAAACATAAAATTCAAAAATTTCTGGCATGGTACAATCGATCTAAAATCTTGTTCTATGAAAGTATGAAATGAAAAATATTCCCTTGATACAATTTTGCATTTAACATTACTTTCCTTTCAAAAAGGTTTCATTACACATTTTGCATAGAACAAGAATTGGGACCCAGTTCTGCATTTTCTGTAATTTACCTTGTCAAATCTAACTGAATAAAAAGAACGAGATTACCTTCTTACTTCTACCATGGTTTTATCGTCATCTTTACTATTAATATTATATACAAACATCTTTATTATAATGGCAATATAAATTATTTATATTTTCAAATCTTAAAGAACGTCCATTAACCGCCATTTATATTAAAGTATACCGGAAATTGTGATTTGTGAACGAATAACCATTAACCACAATAAAACACTTGATTGATAGGGTTCTATAGTCCAGACAAAGAAAATTGACGAGACCCTGTGCTATCATTCCTTAATACTTCATGAAATCAAAAGAGACAGTTACAGATAGAACGTTTTGAGCTCTACAATCTTGGAAGCCTGCCGGTAGCATAGACAAATAAAGGCATAGGCTAAAAAGTTGTCTCATCTGTTATCTTCGAAAAAAAAACTGCTTCAATAGATGTCGTTCATGCAGTGAGAGAGCATAAAGCTGGGAATACATAAAGCGCTTATTTGACTGGCTTAAGCCATCGGCTGGCTTCTTCGTAGAGGAACAAAGGAATTTTAGGTTGACCTAGTTCGATTTTGGCCCGAGGCTCCTTCTTTCATTTCCGAAGAAGCCAGCCGATGACTTAAGCCAGCCAAATAAGCGCTTTATGTATTCCCAGCTTAAGTCTATTCACTCAATTCTCTCAGAATACAAAATGTTGAAAATTTTTATGATTTATTATTGTTTTATCAATTGAAAACGAAACAGTGACTTGGTTTACCTAATTATGAAAATATAGAATTTAAATAGCTAAAAAATGAATAAATTGTTTTCGAAGTCGAGTGACTGAGTGACTTAACTGTCCCAATGATCAACCATAGTGACATCTGCGGGAAGGGGTAAATTTTAAAACTGTTTAGTCTATACCTCTATTTGTTTTTTTCATTTATATTTCATTTTCTCTCTCAACTCTACAAAAATGTTTGTTATCATTTCACTTTGAATACCTGTACAAGAAGGCTTTGAACCATGATGTTGAGTTTCTCAGTAAAATCGAAAGCAGCTTCTAGCTGCTTATAGAAGAAGCCTTCGCATGGCATATTATGTGACATATCATAAAGGGAACAAGGCGCACTCGAATCTTGCCGCCGTTTCTTTTATAAATTGCCATTAATATGTCTGGTCAAAATAACAAGCTGCTTATGTACCCTCACTTTTATTCCCTTTTTATACCCTCCCCATTAGTATGGAGTGTGTATTAAATCCTTAACACCTCGAAATATACATTTTAGATCCCACAAAGTATATATATTCTTGATCAGCATAAAATCCTATGTCGTTTTAGCGATGCCCGTCCGTTTGTGGAAATCACTCTAGCTTCCGAATAAAATGAAGAAGGTTGATAAAATTTTACTCAAATGTTTATTATGTCTGCAAGACTTTTGCTATTGAAAATCGGCCATGTAGGTCCACGTTTTTCGGTATTTTGCCGATATTCGGTATTTTGTTGATTTTAGCTATATTATTCAACGAAATGGTTTCAAATTTGGTATTTGAAGTTCGTAATGGATACTATAGCCTAAGACAGAAAATTGTCGGAGAATGTCCACATCTTAATATAGCCCCGGTAGCGGTATTTTTCGGAGAATTTTTTTTTTTTTTTTTTTTTTTTTTGAAACATTTTAAGTTCCTTCCGAATGGTGGACTGTTTAAAAAATTCGGCCCGGCCGAACTTAGCTGCTTTTTAACATGTTCCAATAATTTCATATCCCATCACCCCAAAGTTGCTGTTATCATTTCAGATAGAATAGCATTTTACAAAAAAGGGTTAAGGTTAACATTTCCAGTTGCCTTTTGAGATCAAGAAGAAGAATGCATGTGTGAGTGGGATTACGTTACGAATGTTCTGACCATAGACTGAAATAAATTTCCAAAAAAAAAACAAATCAATTTTTAAATAAACCCCCCAACAAATAATGTCCGATCAAGATCCCGTTGAATTGATGCTTCAAAAAACCGGTTGCATTAATCTACATTACAAGGTACAAGAGTGTATTGCTGAGACAGGTGATTGGCGCCGGTGCCAAGACAGAGTAAAGGAATTCAAGGCCTGTATGCAGGAATATGTTGATAATCAGAGCCGGAAATATGCAAATGTAAAATAAATACAACAAATTTCATCCGCATAAAAATCCACATCACAATGACGAAACTCCTGCGCACCTTTTATAATGTCTCCAAACACCTAACATCCCCACCAACGAAGCTTGCCTTAGTGGTAAGGGGAGATTTGAAAATGTCCAAAGGTAAAACAGCAGCCCAATGCGCCCATGCAGCAGTAATATGTGTACAAGATTCCCAAGAAAGCAATAATGAACGAAATCGAGAACTCTTGCAGTCATGGCTGGCAATGGGACAGCCTAAAATTGTATTAAAAGTTGATAAATATGAAGAATTAATGAAATTACAAGAGGAATCTTCACGGAAGGGCGTTACAGCAGCCCTTGTGCAGGATGCAGGTCGCACACAATTAGCCGCTGGCACAGCAACTGTTTTGGGCATTGGTCCAGACACCGTGGAGAATATTGACAAACTTGTTGGGCATTTAAAATTGTTATGAAATTAAGAAAAAAAAATAAAATAAAATCCATTTTGTATGTCAAATTATGCAATTTATCTTGAGAGCAATGTATGGTCTAGAATTTGAAGACGTGTTAAATTATAGTTTGTTTCTGCTTCAAATTAAAATTCATTAAGAAAACTCTTGTATTCTCGTTCAACAGTAATAAGCAAATTTATTTACAAAATTAATGAACAATTTCTTGTAGCTTATATATTCATATGAGAAATTACTTAATTAGCAGCTTCTTTAGATTTCGCTCTCGGCTTTGTGGATATGGTAAAGGATATTGGTTTACCAAAGGTTTCAACTAAATCTGATGTAACACGTTCTGTTATTTGCTTTAGGCGTCCATTGGATTCGCCACAAATCAGACGTTCGACACGTTTTGTGGGACAAACAACTTCAACCGAAGCATAAATTGTATCTGAAACATGAAATCAATCTGAATATTTTCTCTAACAAAACTTAAGGGCTTAAAATACCATTATGGACATTGTAGTATTCAATGAATGTTTCCAAATTATAGGGTATTTCCTGTGGCAAATAATCAAGAAGTCTGGCCCTTACACATGCCACAATTAGTTCCTCCGGAGGTTCATCTGTAAATTTGTCACTGGGAAATTCCCAATTTCGTGATTTAGCGGCATGTACAAAATAGTCCTGCAAAGATAGAAACTCTTCATTTATTTGTTTCAAGAATGTTATTTTCGTTTATCTTACATGAACTTTATTCAGGCCACTTCCAGTTATAGATGACACCAAAAACACATCGCTAAAATTACTCCATGTTCCCTCGTTTTTAAGCAAATCACCAAATTCCAAATCTGGCCTTTCATCATCCTCCTTCTTTGATTCATCCAAAGTTAACTTCTTACCTATTCTATTATGTTTTCTGCCGCTCAAGGTATTATTGGTGAGAATACGTATCAGTTCCAAAGTAATGCGTTTGGATTTTAAAGCATCTATTTTGTTCAATATCAAGACACTGGGTAGTTGGGGATAAGCTTTCAAGCTGTCTATAACCGTAGAATGTAATTGCTTGCGAGTCCAGCTGTTGGATACATCATGCAGAACTGCAATCATATCAGCATGTTGTATGGCATGGCGATATGAACTTTTAAATGATTTCTCTAATTTATGTTTATTGATTTCTTTTTGTGTCACCAATCCAGGTGTATCGTAGAATACCAGTTGTGTCTGTCCCGTTGTATAGATAGCCTTGTTGGATTTTCGTGTTGTGTGTACCTTAGATGATGTGGGGCATACCTGCAAGAAATGTTCAATTAATTTTCCAACATGTGCTTCAAATAACCTGGAAAATTTACCCGGTGATTTATTATATTATTGATGAATGTACTTTTTCCGGCATTTGGTACTCCAATAACAGCAATATTTAATGATTTCTGTTCGCTTAACTTTTGTTCCCCACGGTAATGCTTTGAGAGATCCCTTTCTTCATTGTTTTCGTATTTGTTGTCCAAAGTAAGGTTTCTTTGTTGTTGCAGGCAATAATATATGCCATATTTATTCAATTGAACATTGGGTTTTACGAAATTAGTAATATTTTTTAATATTACAAACATTTTACCGGAGAATCAATGTAAACATGCTATGTAATAACGAATGCTTCTTCTTATTCTTCGTTTTAAAGAGAAATATTGACATAACAAATGAAATGAGGTCCCACACTGAAAGGGATCTTTAGGTAGACTTTTTAGCTGTCCACAAATGGGGCTTGGAAAGGAAAGGCAATTTCTTCATACAGGAAAAAATCTCTCATCTCCTCATTTTGGCAAATGACGTCCTGATGCTATTTGGAAAGACGCCTACTGGCGTTATCACTACCCCAAGAATCTACAAGCCACTAGCATTTGATAGAATATAGCATGTGAATGGTTTTTACATATAAAATAGTCTTCCCAGAATTAATTGTTCCATGGAAAATACTACGTCTCAAATATCTATGGCACATACTACACCTTATACAATTCAAATGTAAATTCAATCTATTTAATGTTAACTCATTGCTACATATGAACCATTTATTTTTGCATAACATATAATTTGCAATTATTTTTTAGGCAAGGTGAAATTTAAATATAAATTAATAAAAAAAGGTACAGTAAATATTTGTAAATAAAAAAATATAAAATATAATAGAAATGCCATTAATTTTTCGGTTACAATAAAATAATACAATTTAGAATTTAAATAAAAAAATTCTTTGTGGTTAAACCCAATTGAAAAAATATTAATAAAAAAGAAATTGTGTATACAAGTTATTGTGAATGATAATTCCTCAGTCTACATAGAATTTTGCCATTTAACCAGAACTGTATCGTTCTCTTGTAGAGAATAGAAATCTAAAGTCTTTGACAAATTATCCATTGGTACCACCAATTCTGGATGTTTGTGATCGACGTAACACAACTGTGGAGCTGTATCACTATCCATGTGAAAACGTTTTATGATGAGACCAAGTAAAGTTTGTACTGTTATCATGCGTGGAAATTTCTTTTCCCAGACATCTCCAGTCTCTGAGTGCAAAACACGGATTTTGATTAGATTGGACACCTTGATGTTGGTGCGTGGAATAAATTCAGCTGGCGAACCATATTCTAGGGAACAAAACAACAATCTTTAGATCGAATATTAAATTATAGAATAAATACAATATACATACTTTTCAGAAGCAAGGAATATGTTCGATGTTTCTTGTAAAACTCTTTCAACGTTTCAGGTTTTAAGGAAGCCTGTAACCATTCTGGTGCGTATTTTTTCCAAATATCATATTCAGCGCCACGTCTTTCTTCTGGCGATATTTGAGCCTTGTTCAATACTTGTAAATTTGAGATCATTGCCACTGCATTAACAAACATTTCATTGAAATCAGATTTAAGATGTGGTGTCTTATTTAGCTGCCTTAATTTGGGTAATTTATCCAATTCATTAAAGGCATCTATTTCATTCCATATTGGGTTGTGAAAAATATTCAAATGCTCCAGGCCCGAAAATATATCCAGCAATTTTGCATCACTTTCACATTCAGGTAATTTGATAACTTCTATGCCATTTTCCATGAGATTCAAAAATTCCAGTGTTTTTATATTGCTTAATTTGCAAACTTGATCGAAATCAAAAAGTTTGGTACGATGTAGATCAAGTTCCCTGTAAAAATAATAATATTTACAGATCACACTTGGGTATTAAAAAATGTTAATGTTCCACCTACTTTAAATTTTTAAATATTTTTGTTGTATCAACGACTGAGAGCTCACTGATTGGATTTCCCTGTAGACTTAATGACTCAATGTAGGGCCAAAGAAGAGCTGTCTGCATAACATCCGACCAATTCTTAAAACCACACTCACATAAATTTATGAAGCGTAAATTGTCAAAAGCTGGGGCCAAATTTGAAATCTCCAAATCGGAGGGAACCACCAAACGATTGCAACTAGAAATATGTATTAAGGAGTAATTAAATCATTGCAAAACTTCTCATACTACCCTCGTATGTGTGATAAATATATCTTACCTCAAATTTAGATTTCTCAGGGAAGGAATTTGACGACATATATCTGCAACAATTTCCCAGTTCCATATCAGGGTGTGACTTAAGTTCAACGTAGTCAACATGGTGAACTCCTTCAAATATCCAGCCGAATTTACAGCACAATTATCCACACTCACATCGGTGAGCTGCTCAAATTTGCTCTGTTTACGTGCCAGCTTGTCCATGCCGACTACCTCAAAAAATGAGGCCTGCAAAGATTCCTGGGCCTCACGCAACAATTGTTGATCCAAAGCATTCTCTGAATAACCCAAATACCGATCACGAGCTGCCTCCTCCAGAGACTCGAATGGTCCCACTTTGCCCGGGCGTATAAAACTTCCAGCTGTTGGATGCTGCGTATAGAAATAGTGTTTGCCATCGATTGTTCCATTGTGTTTTCCACGTTTTGGATCATCCCATTCAATGCCCAGCCAGGTACCTTGATAACCCAAAACCTGTGTAGGTGGGGCAACAAAATAAATTGAATTTACACACTTAAACAAGTCTTTGTCTTGCTGGTGGCATGATTTTCACTTACCTCGCCCACATAATGCACGGTTCCACAATTATCACCGATTTTTATACGCGTTCCCAGTGGATAACGTATGCAGGTGTCGTCCATAATTCCAACCATTTTGTCTATGATTTTCTGTGTTCTCTATGACAAAGACGATTTTGTTGTTTTTTTTTCTCTTCTTTTCTGTGATATGAGCAATGAAGTCTGTTTTTGTTTTTTTAAGACGGCGACAATATGATGTCAGTAGTCCGCAGATGCCTGGGTCGTGTTAACGCCGTTAAGTTTGTGTGCAATATACTTTATCGATCTTCAGAACTCTGAATCATTGTTATCATATGGACCGCTGTTGAATTTGTTTGGTTAGCGGTGTTGTCATTACTTTGTAATAATAAAATTCTTTAACGTAAACATGGATTTTTTAGAAAAATACAGCACTTTTGAATTATTCATTGCTTCTGGATTGATGCCCGTGGTATTTGTGTTCCTTTGGTATTTAATTATTGGCGATTTTAAGGTGAGAATGTGTAGTACCCACCCACACCTTGAATTGGTATTTACATGACTTCTCTCTCGTTTCAGAACTTTAAGGGAAGTAAAGTCTCCTGTTCCGAGTTTACTGCCACTGATCCCGTGAATTGCTATCAAAACTATAAGAAGTCAAAGTGAATGGAGGACTACCACGGGTCGATATGTTGTATTCGTAAATCCCATAGTTGGGGTTTGATTTCCTGATTCATTAGTTTTCTAATAAATTACAAAGATAAGATAAAATACAAAAGGGTGTAGCAATATACTTACCTATACTTACGTTTATATAGAAAATGTATTAGACTTTTAATATAGATTGAGAAAAAAATTAGCCGGTGTTCTGTAATTTTTCGGAGAGGAAATGAATGCCAACCGGTATCCTATTAGCCATGGTTTCTTGGTATGACTCACAAAATTGAGCATATTATGCTTAAAATGGGAACATTCTTTTGCACCATACCAAATTTCATGTTAGCGGACATTGATTATTGTCAAAATAAATTGGTGGGAGTAGAATCAAATAAATAAACTGTTGAAAAGTGTTTAAATTTTCAATGATTTTCGTTATTTTCAATGATTTTTCGTTACACGCGATAAAATACATAAGAAATTGGTATGACCAAAAAAGAACATTGGGTTGCAATGCATAATTGAATCACTGAATACCATTTTTAACTCTGAACCATCAGTGTCAACTAGTTGGAAGATTACCTGATAAGAATTAAGTTTATGGGGTAGAAACTGATAATAACGGAAACATCACATACCCTCCATCCAAACAATCAAGGCTTGAGAAAACAACACTCCATTTATTAATCCGATTTCAAGATTATTATTTTTTATTTAGAACATTGCAGAGAAAATGTATTTTTGTTTAGTAATGGTCGGCATTAAAATTCGTATTAGTATTAATAAAACATTATTTTTTTCTTCTTATTAAAGTGTTATAATTAATATATAAAAAATATATTTTTGGGGAGATGTTTATGAAAAAAATAATAAAAAATATTTTTATATATTTTGTGTAGTTTATGGCAAAAATGTTCAACACAAACAAAAAAGTAAACATATTTACAAAAAAAGGACATGTAAAGCATTGTATTAAGGACATGTCGGGGAAATAATAATGTGTACATGTCTATGTAACTTAAAAGGGCACTTAATTCAAAAAAGAAAATACATATTAAGTATACAGCTAAGGAAGCATATTGGACTATAAAATAATAACTATAGAAACTATATAAGACATATTTAATATACTTAATTAACATAAACAATATTCACTGTTGCTTAAACTAGCTAACATTATATTCGAATTCATTAGTGTAGTTAATAACAATATTGATTTTTCATGTTAAGGTTTGTTGTTGAATACAAAAAGAGCATGTTTGTTTAAAAGGAGTTCTTTGTAAAAAAAAAAATGTGTAAAAGCGACCAGCGTTTTAAAAAACAATTTCAACAAAATACTAATGTATAGAAATGGCAGTTTCGAGAAAATTCTATGAATACAATAAAAGAATTAAAAAATATATATAAAAATGAAAACTTTAAGGTAAGACTGTAATGTGCGCATGATATGTGTGCTGTCTTTTGTTTTGCAAAACTGTAGTTGTGAACGAATGTATGTATATCCATAAGTTTTGTAATGTAAGTCTTTTTTGAGAAAATTTATAAATCAGGTTCAACAAATGAAGCAGGAAATAAACCAGTCTTATATGTTCTTGAATTGGTACCCTTGTACCAACCATTTTTTTGTTTACGATAAACAAATATTATATCACCGACTTGTAGCTCCAGTTCGACCTCGCTATTTGGTGGATATGGTACCACACAACGGAAACGACTAGAAAAAGAGCAATAAAAACGACAGCCATCAAATATTGACCATGACCTTGAGAAAGCCTTTTGTGGCCAGCCAAAAAGACCATAAAACATAACTTACCTTTCCGGCATATTATTGGGGGTATTTGTTGTTGCACTTGCATGTACAGCAGCAGCATTAATATTACTTTGTGGTAGGTCCGAACTACTGGAAGGTGGAGGAGCAGCGGTGATTATATTATTTGTTGATGATGACGATTGTAAAATATTCGAGGCATCTAAGGAATGAGATTTACGATGAATAACTGCTGTAGTTGATGGTGAATTATTTATGTTTGAATTCGAAGTTTGTGGCATTGTTTGTTGATATTGTTGAGCACATTTTTTCGGCATTAAATTGGATTGTTGTTGTATATGATTGGCATAAATACTGCGTAGGGTCGAGTCAATTGTAGGTCGAGTACTGTAAAGGAAAAGCAAATTATTTTCGTTTCCGAACAAACCTGCAGGTGAATACTTACTTTTCCAATGAGGATCTTTCCTTTGGACCTTTAATGCGTTGCGAACTGTAACCGTTTGAGGGTGGGGGTGGTGTAAGTTGTTGTTGGCTATGGGCATTATTGCTACCTTCATCTTTAGTTTCACCAACCGGTCGTCGTTCATTGGGAAAATGTTGCAGCAGTTGACTGGGACAGGAACCCGAACTAGAAAGAGAAAATATTGAAATGATGTACTTGCTTTAAATATTTACGAGATGAGAAAAAATAAAAAAAAGGCAATTGAATAGTAGAATTTTGGTCTAAAAGTATAATCAAATATACCTACCGAACATGAACTGGCGTTAGACCATGCCCTGTCATTGATCCTTGATGTTGTGGCTGCTGCTGATGTTGCTGAGATGGTGTTGAAGCAGTCATAACGTTGCTATTATTGCTTGCAGCAGCTGCATTGGAGGCAGCATTAATCTGTGTTGTGGCCAAAGTTGAGGCTGCTACTGCAACAGCTGCTATAGCAGCACCAGGTGATTTTGATCTTGATTTTATGTGTGTCAAAAACTTTTTCAGTCCAGCCGAAGCCGATGATGTTGAGTTTGATGATGACGATGATGTTGACATACATCCCGTTGTTGTTGGCTTTTCTTTTAGGGCCTCTTTATCACGAGATTCTCTTGAAGAGATATTTGATGATTGCTGCTCGTTTGCTGATCGTTGATTATTCAAGGGTACTGGACTCAAAGCCAAATGTCTTGGTGGCAAATCCGGCGGCATGGCTTGATGGGGGGTTAAATTTGCCAATGTCAAACGAGCATTTATATTTTCCAAATCGTGACGCATGGACGAGGAGTAATTCGAATTTGCCATTTGCTGCTGTTGAGGAGACATTTGATTTGTTCCACTACTAACAACTACCCCACCACCATGGCTATTGATGTAATTTGAGGGCGGTATTAATTTCCAACTATGCATTAATTGTTGTTGATCTCTAGCCCTTAACGGTGTGACATAATTACCAGGGAATACTCCGCTGATGTCTTTCCAATTTTTACCCTTAAACCAGCCATCCAAACAACGCTCGGTAACCATGTACACACAACCTTTTTTCAATTCTAATTCATCGTTTTTTCTCGGCTTGTAGGGATATAGGGCCAAATAACCCCAAGGTAATGTGGGTGGTACATTCTGTTGACAGGTTTTCAGAACATTATGACGTGGTGTTGACGTACCGGCCATTTGATTTTGCATTACTTGTGCCTTGGTATTGGGTGGTAGATTTGTTGCATGATGTTGTTGTTCTCTAGCTACTGTTGTTTGGCCAGTAGCAGTGGCTGAAGAACTCATTGCAAGATCCGGTTCAAAATCATTTGGAACACTCAGAATTTCCGCTGAATGACGATTACTACTTTGCATAATACTTAAGGCTGTTCCACCATTGTTCAACAGGGCATTGAGTGAATGTCTTTTGTGTTTCATGTCATTGTTGCGCAAACGAACAGAACTGGCTGGGTTGTGATGATGGCCAGTATGTTGTGGCGTTGTGGGCATAGATGATTGTGGGCTATTGGGCATAGAATGGAAAATGGTATTGGTTGATGATGCTGTGGTCGAGGATGATGTTGAGGGATTCGTGGTGGTTGATGTGGGACTTGTGGTGGCCGAAGAATTTGAAGATGACGAACATGACAACTGGACAGTTGTGGAGGTGCCCGGTTTTGTAGTATCACTGGTGGTTGCAGAACTGTCTGCACTGGGCGGTATGGGTGGTAAGTCACGTGACTCCAGCACTTGAGATGTCTGCTGTTGTGTTGCAATATGACCAGCAGCCGTGGCAGCAGTTGGTGGCGTGAAGCTTTCCAGCAACTGTTTGGCCAAATGATTTAATTCTACAAAGGCTATTGGAAATATACCAATGGATGAGCCGATACGTCCTTCGGCCCAGTTTTGATCGACTCTACGCAAAACTTGTATCACCGTTCCCTTTTTAAATGTCAAACAACCTTCTTCTTCGTTTGGACCCATTTTAAAATCGTACAAAGCAATGCATTGTGCCGATGGTAGGGGAACAACAACCTGAACATAGTTTATGGGGAAGTTTCCTTCGACTCCTTTAAATTGGCCCACATACCAATTGCTATCAATTTTACGTCGCAACAAAATTAGATCACCCTTTTTGAATTTCAGATCGTTGGGTTCATTTGAATCGAAATCATATAGGGCATAGGCATGAGGAACAATTGATCGTCTTTGTTGGCTTGATGGTGGCGGGGGCTGATGTAGCTGCTGTTGCTGGGCTATGTTTTGAGCAATGTTTGGTGGTAATTGTAGAAATTGTTGGTGCTGTTGCTGCTGATGATGGTGTTGAAGCTGCTGTTGTTGTGGTTGGATTTGTGAAATATTGTTTTGTCGTTGCAGCAAAATTCTTTCATCGTTGCTAGTAGTTGTTGTTACAGTTGAATCTGATAAGGGACGTTTGGTTGTTTCAATCTTCTCAACTGGTGCATCATTATTGCTGTGATGTTGTTGTTGATTTTGTTGCTTAGCGGCAGCATTTTTCATGCCTATGAAAAGAAAAATGTCATTAATATATGATCAAATGTCATTATTAGTATTATTAGCAAATAGATTTTGGACAACTTTTAAATCAACAAGTGTCTTTGGGTCCCAACTTATTGCGAGATTGTGTTTGTGAGACGGAGCCGGGTAATATGTCCGTTTCGATTGTTATATACAGAATTTAGAACTCTCGATGTGACCAATAGAAAGTATTTTACTCAAAATCTTAAAGCATATAGATAATTTGAGTGGGTCGGCAACTGTGTCTGATTTGCCACCACCATGTGGGACGACTTGAAACGTACAAATGCAATAAACATCATGCTAACAAACAGCAGTGAAGGAAGGCGTTTCTATGCATTTATTCAAATATGATAAGAAATTTTAACATTGCCCACTGTTCTAGGAGCAGCAATACATACCCTCTAAAATTCGCATAAGCAGAACATTCGGCGGCAAATCATCAATCTTCGTTTCAACAAGTATTCGACATTCGGGACATCTTAGCTCCTGACGACTGGCATAAATAACCTGCAAAACACACACACGTACACACATACAATAACATATTTCGAATTTCATCATGGTCATGCATGCACACTTACCTCAAGACACTTCCGACAAAATGTATGTTGACATGGTAGCACTTTTGAATCCTTTAGACGATCCAAGCACACCGAACACTCCAGCAAATCATTTAGTGTGTTCTCATCCATTTTTTTTTATTAATCAGCCATTCAATATTACATTCACTTTATTGCATTTGACACATTGAATATGAATGAATGACAAAAAATTAACTCCTAATTTACATATTTCTACAATTCTTTTCTTCGAAACAACATTCCATCAATATGAACAAACAAGTCCAAGTTTGTGCTGTGGTATTGGTGGTGTTGGTTCGTTCTTTTATTCTCTTCGACTGACCCCGACCCCCCTTTTACTATTCAACAGCAACAACCAAAAAAAACCCAACTAACACATACATCACACGAAATGCACTATGAAACAGATCGTTTTGTTGTAATTTTTATATTTTTCTAATTGCTTATTGCATGCATTTCACCAAGAACGTGGTATTTTATTGATTATATTGTTGATTTTAACACATTTCAGCATTATATACTATTATTTCCGTTTTCAACGAACTGGAGCTATGTTGGAGCCTGCAAGAAGAGAGAAACACACTAAAAATTTCAGGGATCCATGAATCGAGTCTATGACAAATAGAGATCAAGATGTCATAAGATGGGGGTTATCAGTTCACAAGTGAATGGCAACTACATATTACAGGTTATGCGTTTCGTTTTGTAAAGATAAATATATATTTCGTTTTATAAAACGAAGGAATCATTAAAACATTTTAGTAAAGTTATAACAAGTTTCACTTAGATGTTGATAAGATTTATTAAGGAAACATAAATGACCATCCGTTGAGAACTTGTAGTATTTTGCACATTCCTTCACGTGAAAAAATCTTCTTGAGTTGTGATCATCATACCCAAACTGGCAGTACAATTCAGAAGTACATACTATTTAAAATTTGTTTTTTTTAAGAATTTAATCGTAAAAGAACAATGTATATTTTTATGCCATTATTAGAATTAACTTTAACATTTCTATAGGTCATGGCGTAAATATACCTACGCTTACGTTTTCATTTAGTTTACACAACGCCACTGACAACTGTCACACGTACTTGGCTGTTATCATTTTCCAATGGATGTTCTGTCAATTCCATATTCAGGGTTATTTGAAGAGGAGGCCGAACTTCGTAGAAGAATATCCACATAGAAAAATATTTAATTAAAATCTATACAATATGAAAGTTCCATTTGGCAAGAAACACGCTGAAATCGCCACATCCTTGTAAGTAAATTGCGAATATAAATACTCTACTAAAAGTGGTGAGGAGGAGGGACAACAATTTTATAAGTTGCATAACAATTATTGTTGCTGCTTCCTCCAAACTCAACTACACTTGGAGAAATTATATATAACGAGATTTCATTTGTCTTCTTTTGTAGCGTTGGCTCGGCCGTCGGCTTTGGTGGTGCCGCTTCTTTGGGACTCTTGTACTTCACTGACTGGAAGTTGGTATTGCAATATGTGCCATTCTATGGTTCGAAATTCGAAAAATCCGAATAAATGTGTTCTTTGACTTCAGTAGCTTGTAATTTATGCTATTAATATGCAATAAATTTAATTCACCATAATTCTGTGCAGTGTGTTTCGAATCCTGAATGTTGAAGAGAACAAAGTTGGGAGGTATTTATGTTCCAGTGGTGAAGGAGTTTTGTATTTAGTAATCAGGCGAACAATGTAACAAATATGGCGTCAACAATGTAGCCAGTTCCATCAATCTTGAAATTTGTTTCTTTTTTCAACTTAAGTTATTTTCTATCTATTGTTGTATTAAGAAGGGAACTTCGGTGTATATTACCTTAAGACAATCTGATTGAAGGATATTTTATTATAAAGACGATCCTCTAAATGGCTCACTATTATGAAGTGGGTATCATATATTAAGACACGTCGAAGCCTAAAGGCGTCTACATTATTAAGGCGAAAGGGCCCGACTGCCGACTTAATTCAGCTGTTATACTCTTTATCACTTTCTTCCAAAAAGACGCTACAAATTGTAGGTATATATTTCTGATCAGCGATTTAGTAAAGATCCCAGTGCAGTCTGCCTTTTTATAGAGAAGAATCGTTTTTCGACTGAAATAAGGCAGTGGAGTTAAAGGCCTAGAAGGTAGAGTTGTTGGACCCATGAACAATATCGATAGTCTAGTGGCACTCAAATCAAGTACCAATAACACCAGGGCTGTTCATTATTGCAGAGTGAGCTTTGTTGGATCTCTGGACACATTAACATTCAGGGAATGGAATGGCTGACTAGCTAGGGCTGATCATAGTAGCATGCTCTAACGATCAAAAAAACTGTCAGGTCGCCGATTAGCTACTACATCGGCTGTCTCACAATCGCCCCATCCGACAAACCTTGCTATTTTCAATAGGCTTTTTCCTTTATGGAGATTGATTTGGCCCAATCCATGGACCAATCTATGTTAAAGCCGTTTTTACATTGTATTTGTTGTACAGTTTGTTAGGTAAACATTTTTAAAACATTTCAAAAGAAATGTTACAAAGTTAATTTTATGCCATCAACAGATGTGTCTTCAGAATTCTGTTAGTATTTCTTTCTGTATTAAAAAATATTGTCTTCCCTAACCAATAAATCTACCATAGAACTTAAATAATTTCATTTAACATCGACTTTTTAAAATGTTGATATTACCTATGAATGTAGTAAATACATTCTTCTCAAAAATATCGCTCTTTCCACGCTGTCTACTAGTTGTCTATGGATTATCATTTCGCAGTGATTACAAGAAATATTGTTATCACCGTTGATGCCAAGGTTTGGCTTTGGGGTCTGCATTTTTTATTTCTCTTTTCTCCTTGTTCATCAGTTGCTCTATGGCCGTATTTTTTTCTGTGTTGACAAACAAACAACGGAAGCAACGAAAACAACTGTCATTGACTGTCAATAGTACGGAAAAAAGGAACAAAAAACAAAAGACTATTAGAAGAGGGGTCCCTTAATATAATTAATAAATAATACGGTATTGTTATTATTTATCACAATTAAAGTTCTCATTTGTGTTTGGGACGATTATTATAAAGTGCAGACGATTATAGGAATATCGGCAACAAACTGAGACATGTCGGAAACATACGGTAATTGATTTTGTCAACTTGCATTGCCACTTCTATGGATTTATTTGACTTTGTTTCTGGTTTTTTTGCTTCCAGATTACTTGTTTAAGTTTTTAATCATTGGAAGTGCAGGCAGTGGGAAAAGTTGTCTTCTACACCATTTTATTGAAAACAAATGTAAGTGTTGTGTGAAATTTTTTAAATTTCGTGTGTATTACTTGTTGTTTTTGTTGGTGGAAATTGCGTGTTTCGCATGAGAAGTGGGAAAATGTGTGAAAAAAGAACCAGTTGTTGAAAAATGAAAACATGTCAATTGTTTTGTATTTGGGCTATGACTAATAGAAAATTTCTCAAATATTGAAGTTATCATTTAGTCTGTTGGCAAATTGTACCAAATGGGATTCTAATTGGATGTGGGATTTTGGCATGGTAAATATACACCTGTAATTTGCTAACATTTAGATCTACGTGCTGTTACAATTTGTATAAAGAGAATAATGTTAATTACGTATTACACCTGACTTTACTTACTTGTAATGCTTTGTCAAAAGTTTCATTTGTTATATCATACTTTTATTACCTACTTCCTTTCTTTCCTTTATTTAGTCAAGGACGATAGCTCACACACAATTGGTGTTGAATTTGGATCCAGAATTGTTAATGTCGGCGGAAAATCAGTTAAATTGCAAATATGGGACACTGCTGGTCAGGAACGTTTTCGTTCAGTAACACGATCATATTACCGTGGAGCTGCAGGAGCTCTGCTTGTATATGATACAACATCACGTGATTCGTTTAATGCCCTAACTAATTGGTTGAATGATGCCCGGACCTTGGCCAGCCCAAATATTGTTATTTTGCTGGTGGGCAATAAGAAAGATTTGGAAGAAGCCAGGGATATAACATTCCTAGAAGCAAGCACATTTGCCCAGGAGAATGGTAAGACGAGCCTTTTGAAGTAACTTCAAATTATCCTATGCCTAATGTCTGTTTTAATTTTTCCAGAGTTGATATTCCTTGAGACAAGTGCAAAAACTGGTGAAAACGTTGAAGAGGCCTTTTTAAAATGTTCAAAAACCATTTTGGCAAAAATTGAAACCGGCGAATTGGATCCCGAACGAATTGGCAGTGGCATACAGTATGGCGGTGCTGCCCTGAGAAATCTTCAACAGACTCGCCAGCGTAGCATCAATAAGCCCGATTGTGGTTGTCGTGTTTAAATGTCATTACGCTCTTCGGCATTAGATTGTTGTACACGGTAAATTTGTGTTAGAAAAAAACGAAACGAACGAATTATTTGTATATTCAAAATAAGTTTTATTTTAAAACAACAACAAAAAATACACAACATTTTTCTGTGCATTGTCTTTCTTAAATCTAAGTCCAATTCAATTTATGTGTTTTATGCTATTCATTCCAAAATCAATTTTACACGATCCTACCTGCCTTAACCACCAACATTTCAAAATCTCAAAACAATGGTTGTTAATTTTTTATACTTTTCTCCAATACTTTTTTTTTTATTAAAAATTATTATTTTATATTTATTTTTATACAATATATTATTTGGTTTTTTTTTTTTGTTTTCTTTTGTAATATCGTTTTTCCCAAAACCACCAAAAACCAATTGGCCAGAAAAAAATAAAAGAAATGAACAAATTAATTTTATCTTACCTATACATACATATATATTTTTTTTCTTAAAATTTAAGCATTTCTATTTGTATATACATAAGACCAATAAAACAAAAGCATTATGTCTAAAGAAAAATCGTTGTAGTCTGTAGAAATTCCAAAAAAGGATATATCTATTTACAGCATTAATAAAGGAAGGTGAATGTATTAATGTTGCATTAATATAAAATTGTTTTTCTTTTAATTCGTGAAACGTTTATTTCAAGTAAGATGATGATGAATTTGTGTAAATATAGCATATAAATATTTGCAGTGTCTCGTCTTAGACTTAGATGAGAGATAAATTAATATAATCTATCTAAATGTAAACATTCATCAGACAATTTAAAGGGCATGTGTAAGAAGAAATATACTTTTTTACTGCCACTGTCCTCCAAAATTTTCTCATGAGACCTTTCGATGCATGAAATAAGACTAAAATAAATTCCAATTTTGGTTGTCTTGCGATAAAATCTCATACGTTCATTTTCATGAAGTCTCTGTGTATGAAGACCAAAGGAAAGTGAAAAAATTAATACATCTACAAAAAATACCTGATGGACTTTTCTTACTTTCACGATTTCTATTTTAATAACCCTACTTAGTTCAGTTGCATCTTTCAGTAAATTACTCAGGGGAACTAGTTCATTTGAGAACTGCACAACATTAATTGAACACAACAACAAACGGAATATGAAATTCAAAGCAAAGGAACACGATAAGAAAACATTACTAACAAAAGGAACTAAAGTAAAGTAAAGAAATCACTGTGTATAGTTCCCAAAGTACCGTTCAGTGAATAGTTCCCTTTTGAACTCGCACTGCATCAGCCGATGAATTAAAAAATAAAATAATGTTTAAACTAATACAATTTAATAATGTACTCAATGTTAGTACAAAATACTGTTCACGTTACATGTCCGTATGTGCTAAATCTCTAAAATTCTCGGAATATGGAGAGCCAACAGATGTTTTGCAATTGGTTGAGGAAAAGCTGGACAGTCCAAAGGACAAGCAGGTCTTGGTGAGGATACTTGCGGCACCCATTAATCCAGCCGATATTAATACAATACAAGGTATAGTTTTTGAAATATTACTTTCTTGCTCAATAATATAAAGATTAGCTTTTTTATTTATAGTATAAGTTTTGGATATTAAACCAATATCAGAAGATCTTGATTGATTAAGTAACACAGATTTAGCGGCTTATAAGATTTGATTGTTTGTACCAAATTGTATAAGCGAAATTGCTGTTTCACTTCGAACATGATATGAATTTCGTATGGGTATCTATTATAACTTGGTATTAATAACTATGCCGATAGCCAATGAGATTAATGCAAATATTAATTTTGTATGTCTCCTATGTTGGAGAGTATTTTAAATAATAACTTTGTAACGGTACATAGGTCTGGATGGTACCAATCGATTGTAGGTGTATTGAAACTTCAACATATTTTCCAACTGAATTTGTAGCTCAAAACTCAATTTGTATTGTAGACACCTTAGCATAATTCGTCAATACGGGTGGACGTATTTGTGTAGTCCGATATTGCTATAAGATAGAATGCTTCCATTTACTTCATGGTAAACGTAGAAAGTTACCTGTGCGAACTTGACACAACAAATTAAACATTTTAACACGAAATTCTGAAATCATATAAAAAAATCGTTAATAATGGCAAAAATGTTCACATTCTTGTAGTTCTGGAACGAACGCTAGAAACCAAACTCTCTTTCACAATACTTATATTAATATTATGTTCTGCACACCTTTTATGTTCTTATATGTTAAAAAAATGGTCTTTCTTTTTTTAGGAAAATATCCCGTTAAACCCAAGTTCCCTGCCATTGGAGGCAATGAATGTGTTGCTGAGGTCCTTGAGGTTGGCGCTAGTGTTCAAAAATTACAAAAAGGACAACATGTTGTACCCTTTGCCACTGGTATGGGTACCTGGACCACTCATGCTCTTTACAATGAAGATCAATTAATGCCGGTTTCAAATAACATTGGCCTGGCTGAGGCGGCCACTATCACAGTCAATCCTTGCACGGCATATCGCATGATTAAAGATTTTGTTAAACTTTCGCCGGGTGAATGTGTTATACAAAATGGTGCCAACAGTGGTGTGGGACAAGCTGTCCATCAACTGTGTAAATCATGGAACCTCAAATCGGTGGGCATTGTTCGAGATCGTCCCGACATTAATGGTCTCAAAGATCACTTACGTAATTTGGGAGCCACTGAGGTGTTGACCGAAGAGGAGTTACGCACCACAACACTGTTCAAAAGTGGTAGTTTGCCAAAACCCCGATTAGCCTTAAATTGTGTGGGCGGTAAAAGTGCCACGGAGGTGGGACGTCAGCTGGCTGACAAGGGTGTGCATGTGACATATGGTGGTATGTCAAGGGAACCGGTTATTGCTGCCACAGCTGCTCTGATATTTAAAGATATTGCATTCCGTGGTTTCTGGATGACCCGATGGACCAAAGAAAATGCCTTGTCCGAGGAACGTATGCAAATGTTTGCCGAATTGTGTGATTTAATGTTGCAAAAGAAATTTGTTGCTCCCGTTCATGAATTGGTGCCATTAGAGAAATTCAAAGAAGCCACGGCAGCTGCTTTAAATTTCAAGGGATTCACTGGAAAGAAGTACATTTTGGATATGAGAAATTGAGATTCTATTGATGCAAAACATGTTGGCATAGAAAAGTTAATCAGAAGTATAATCATATTGTAATGATTTAAAATATCTAATTTGTATAACAAAATGTAATTGCATTGTAAATGTAATGTAAAAAATAAAATTACCGGAACTTATACTAAATTTGTAACCCTACCCACTATTCATATGTCAATATAAATGAGCCATTGCGGTAAGCTTGAGAAATTTAGTGGCATTCTTTGTGATTTTTTTTAACAATGACGCATTCTAATTGTAATGTGTTCCTCGACTATCTCCCCTCTCACATACCAGACGTGTTTATGTTAATAAGTTTAAAAATTAGTACGTAAATGCAAATGGTTACTAAAAATAATCCTTATTGTATGCAATAAATTTCGTAAACCCTTTGCGGTATCCTTGCAAAAATGCGCTAGTCTAGTTTAACATTCATTCGAACGGAGTGAACGTATTTCAGCAATGTTGTCTCTTTAATTGTTTTCAAACCATTGACGTCAGAGTCGAGGGAAACTATAGTAACGGTAGACCAAGGTGTACAGTTGTTTGAATGCCTGCCATGGAATAATTGCATTTATAAAACATTGTTAAATTATTGATAATACGCCGCCAAAATGGAGATGGAGTATTTGTCATGGAATTGCTATGTTGGGTCTGGATTTTATAGGAGATAAGCTGCGGATCTGCTTAAGGGTCAGTCACATAATATTTTATGAATAAGAAAAAGCTAGAACCATGGTACAATAAGGAGGTAGAACAGCTTCGTAAAATTACAGAAATACAACCCAGAGGCTATGCCCGCTTTCTTTCAAATTTGAATATAACAAGTTGTTTTCATTTATTCAATATTTTTCCTCATTTTTTTTTTAAATCAGTTAAACAGCAGGAAAAATGAATGAAATGCCTGGATTTTCTTTCAAAAATATGTTATGGACAGTTCTATCTTTCAATTCTATGGCAAAACTAGCGAATAGCTTTAATGCACGTCTCGCAATTTACACGTCTTCTAATCATTGATTTTGAAAATATTCTGTTTTTATTTTTCAAAACAGTAAATACATACACAAAATTGGCAGTAGTCGGGCACAATTAAAAAAAAAAAAAACAGCTGGTACCTTACCTTTTTTATTGTACCATGGCTAGAACTGGATCAAAAATTAGACATCAATAAAAGGTGTGCTTACTTGTCACAGTTTTCTGGAAAAAGTGATAAACAGCTTCATGCAAGGATCTACCTTGGCATCACTCTTGCAGGAGAAGTAATCTATTTTGTCTGACATTTGTTTATTTTTTGTACTGTTCTTTCAATCACAGTAATGTGTGTTTGACATTCAATTTGGCAATCAACTGATTCTGATGGTGGACGTTATAATTGGGCAATGGTTTTCCTTTTGTAAGTTCTAGAAACCTACGAAAAAGAAGTCCCAGAAGCATAAGAAAAATAAGTTTATACTATCTGTCTCTTCGAGGGTGTTTAACATTCTGTTGATGACCAAATTGTTTCCACATATCCTGTTTTAGGAACAATGAAGCCCAATTAAGATTTTTTTTTATTTTAAACACGTCATTGTTTAGGTGATTGGTCAATATTACCGTACTCTTAAACAGGTTAAGTTATTAAAGGTGAGAATACATAAAACGTTTTTTTGACTGGCTTAAGGGATCGGCTGGCTTCTTCGGAAAAGAGCAAAGGAGAGAAGGGCCAAAATCGAACTAAATCCAACCTAAAACTCCTTTGTTCTTTGTTCTACCAAGAAGTCAGCCGATGACTTAAGCCAGTCAAAAAAGCATTATATGTATTCTCACCTTAAGGTATCGGCAGGCTTCTTTGGAAAAAAAAAAACAAAGGAGCGAAGGGCAAAAATCGATTTAAGTCGACCTAAAACTCCTTTGTTCCTCTACGCAGAAGCCAGCTGATGACTTAAGCCAGTCAAAAAAGCGTATTATGTATTTTCACCTTAACAACGAAAGAATACAGGTAGATGCATCAACTCTTGGGAACATTAATATGTCGAAATTTTAATTTTTTCTTCAAAAATACGACACCAATCGAAGATTGTTATGATATAAATTTTAATAATTTTTCATTCAAAAATTTCAATTCCAAAATTGGTTTGACTGTATTCTTCTACTATGACAGGGAAACCAGCAATTCACAATCTACAGGTAATGGATTTACCGCAGCTGATCATCTACATTAGTTGTCAAAGCACATATTGTGAATGAAATAACAGTACAAAAGATTAACAAACAGTAAGCAAACATGTCATTTTTACATTGAAAATTGAACAGTATATACCATGGTAGAGGAATATAGGTAGACGCGTCAACACAGCTGCTGGGACAATGAACTGTCAAATCAATTTTGGAATTAAAAATGTTGAATGAAAAATTATTTAAATTTGTAAAATTTTTTGAAAAAAAAAAACGCGAATTTTAATAGCCTCCGTCTGACTTAGTATAAGAAAACATATAAAAATCTACTTATATTTGAAAAAAATTAATTTTTTTGACATATCAATGCTCCCAAGCGTTGATGCATCTACATGTATTCTTCTGCTTTTTATATGTTTTCTTATATGACGTTAATCGGAGGTTATTATAATCCACGTTTTTCAAGAATTTTTGCAAATTTAAATAATTTTTCATTCAACATTTTCAATTCCAAAATTGGTTTGACAGTTTATTGTCCCAGCAGCTGTGTCGATGCGTCTACCTATATTCTTCTACCATGAACTCTATATTATTCCCATGGTAGAAGAATACAGGTAGTCACATCGAAACAGCTGCTGGGACGTATGTAAAAAACATATCGTCTGATAGAGCCTTAACTTCTGAGTGGCTAATAATTGCTATGTTTCAGAACCTGCAAGAATCTACTAATTTTGCAATTTTTTTATATAGGCAAAAATCGGTTATCGAAGTAAAATTGTTTACATTCTTGCAGTTTTGCAAAACCCAAATTTAATGTTAAAGGATTCCCAGCGATTTTTGGCATTTCAACTTGTTTTCATGGTATAATAAAGAAGGTAACCTCTAAGGTAAGTTTCCATATTGCAGAGCTTACCGTTTCTTTATTTAATTCATATTTTCCATTGGAAAAATTGTGGTTTACCTTTACATAAATAAAGACATATCTTATTTTGATTTTTAAAATCGATTTTTTATTTTGTATATATCATTTTTCTTTTTCTTTGTAATTTTTTTATTTACACTAATATTTATAGTATAGGTATGTATGTTTGTTTAAAACAAGCAACAAAAGCAGTTGTTTTTTATTATTATTTCTCAAAAAAAAATGGTTCGTATTAAAAAAAGAATCACTTATTAACATATAAAAAAACGATGTATATAAAAACAATAAAAGACATTCGTTAGCATAAAATATGGCTATTTTTTATAAACTAACTATATATTTTTTTGGTTTGATACAATAGGCTTTATTGCGTTTCTGAGTAGCGTAAATTTCACATACAATAAGTTTGCGTAAAGCATCCTGCCACATAGCAAATTTAGTAATGATGAAATGTTTGTTGACGATAATTTGTTGTATGGTCTGCTAGCTTTACCCAAGAAAACCTGCTGCATGTGAAACTCCCTAATGGCGTTTTATTTATTCATTACTAAAATGCGTTTACATTAAAACAGATTAATTTCATATAAACGACAGAGGGATAGAGAGGCTAGAAGTTGCTTTGTTTAATTTATTATTTTATTATGACATGTTTTTTTTTCGTAGATTGGCTTGATTAGTTTTAGCAGAATATAGTTTCAGGTGTTTTCTTCTTTTTTTTTTGGTAAATGCGTGCTCGAGTATTACATATGCTAGTGATGTAGAAAAACGAGGTTATGTGCGTCTCATTGTCAATACAAAAATATATAATTTTTCTATAATAATTTAATTATTTATATTTTTATAATTTTTTTAGAAGCACCAATTTGTTTTATTTAACTAGTTTATCAAAAAAGCTTTAAGGTATTAATAAATTATGGGGGCTTTTTCTCCCATTACTAATAAAAACGTTCGAAATAAGTATTGCCAACTGATCATTTTTCTTTTTCCCAAATTGACGTAGCCATGGTACAATTAAGAAGGTAGTCATTTCAAATAAGTATACCCTTCTCTGCATTTATTGTAATTTACCTTGTAAAATTTTACCACATAAAATGAAGGGTCTCATCTCTGGTTTGTGTATTTACATTAGATTTATAAATATATATTTTGACAATGAGATGTTGTCAAAGGGATAATTTTTGGAAAAAAAAATTGTAAACATATGATTGCATGACTTTACCTTATTGATTCTACCATGGATGTAGCATTTTCTTTGACCGAAAATTCGTCTTTGTCTATTTGTGGAAAAAATGGGGCCCCACAAATAATAATGATATGATATAGTAATCCTCTGATTGGTAGGTTTGTAGAAAATATGATTTAAGGAGAGAATGGCGCCCAACAAATTCACAATGTAAACAATGATAGGACATGTTTTAATAACTTCTGAAAGCAATGTTTGCAGAAATATATTTTTAGGAAGAAAATGGCGCCCAACGATTGCTACTCACAGTGCAATTGTGAGGAACAAATATTGATCTTTTGAAAAAGTCGGTCTTAAAAAAAAAAAAATATTGACCGGTGTAATTTGCTCACAATCATTGGTAGCTCAATCATTAGGACTCTAGAGTTATTGGCTTGGATTTAATAAGTCATTTGTGCATTTGGGGGACATTTTCTGAAACAATTTGCACGCTGTCCAAATCAGTATCGCCAACTGATCAGGTTTCTTCTCCCTGAATTAATGTAGCATTTTCTTTGGCCGAAAATTTGTCTTTTGCTGTTTTTGGGGAAAAAAATGGCGCCCAACAAATAATAATGATATGACGAAGAAATCCTCTGAATGTTATGTTTGTAGAAAATATGATTTTAGGAGACAATGGCGCCCAACAAATTCACAATGTAAACAAACACAAACATGTACATACTGGGTTGGCAGCCGCTGGCCGAAACTGGAATTTTGTTGTTTCGGGTCAATCCGGTATCGTAGAACCCGCTGCCGTGGGATTTTTTTAATTGCTCAGCCAAACCTACCCAACTCACTCCAGAAGATCTCTGGCTACAGCCCGTTAAAGTAGCCGAATTTCTAAGCCTGGAGCTGGAACCAGATTAGCAGAACGCAAACACATACATGTACTACTGCTACAACAACAACAACAATGTAAACAATGATAGGATAAGTTTTTATTTCTTCTGAAATATATTATTTGGAGAAAATGGCGCCCAACGATTGCTGCTCACCATGCAATTGTGAGGAACAAATATTGATCTTTTGATAAATGTGATCTTAAAACAAAAATATTTACTGGTTTAATGTGCACACCTTCATTGGTAGCTCAATCATTAGGACTCTAGAGTTATTGGCTTCGAATAAATATTTAGGGCATCATAAAACAAGGCCTGTAAGACTTCCCGACATTTCCCGAAATAGTTGGCACGCTGTACTGTTCTCTGCAATATTTAAAAAAAAAAATGAACATTGTTTGCAAGAAAACTGGGAAAAAAATGTATCTGTCATTACAATACAATCCATATTGTTCAAAAAGTAATTTTTGTGTGAAAATGGCGCCCAATTTGTTCAGATGCTCAATTTATCCAGCATTAAATCCCCTTAATCTTTATTAAATCGCCTAAATAATAATCTTCGTCGCGGTTATTAACAAATTAAGATAATATGTTGAGTAAAATGCGTTAAAATTGCGTCAAAGATTATTAAGTGTAGGACAGTGGTAGCACTGCAAAAGCGCCGATATTATCTATAAAAATGTTATGAGCGGAATGTAACAATGGACAGTATAAATTGTATACAGTATACAGTAGTATACAGAACAGCATAAATTGTATAACACTGTATACATTATAGATATATCAGATGTTGGTTGAAAAATGGCGCCCAACGGTCAAAGCGTAGGGCTGTGGTAGTACGGCAAAAGCGCCGAAATTATCTATAAAAATGTTACGATCGGAATGTAACAACGGCGTCCAACAGCCAGTATATCTTGTTTCACACTGTTTATATTACAACAATATCAGAGATTGGTTAAAAATGGCGCCCAACGATCAACATGGTATGAATAATATATAAACGGTATAATATCCGAGGTTGGTTGGAAAATGGGATTCAACAATCAAAGCGTAAGACTGTGGTAGCACTGCAAAAGGGGCCAAAATTATCTATAAAAAAGTTACGAGCGGAATGTAACAATGGCGCCCAACGGCCAGTATAGCTTGGATCACACTGTTTATATCATATCAATATCAAAAGTTGAGTGAAAATGGCGCCCAACGGTCAACATGTTATGAATAATATATAAATGGTATAAATTGGCGTAAATGGTTAGCGAAGTGGCGCCCAACAGTCTGCGATTGTATTACAAGAAGAGATTTTCAGTTGTAAAAAATCAATAAATTTCCAAGGAGATGATAGACGTTCACCTAGAATAGAACTGAATTGGCTTCCAACGGCCAGTATATCTTGGACCACACTGTTTACATTACAAAAATATCAGAGGTTGGTTGAAAAATGGCGCCCAACAGTTAACATGATATGACTAATATATCAACAGGAGGGCATAAAAGTAAGAAAAAACATGTTATGAACGGAATATAACAATGGTGCCCAACGGCCATTATAGCTTGGATCAAACTGTTTATATTACAGCAATAGTAGAGGTTGATTGTAAAATGGCGTCCAACGATCAACATGGTATGAATAATATATAAATGGTATACATTGGCGTAAATGGTTAGCAAAGTGGCGCCCAACAGTGCGGCACTAGATAATATTTTAAGTTGTAAAAAATCAATAAAATTCCTAGGAGATGATAGATATTCATCTAGAATAGAACTGAATTGTCTTTCAACGGCCAGTATCACACTGTATATATTATAGGAATATCAGAGTTTGGCTGAAAAATGGCGCCCAACGGTCAAGATGGTATGAATAATATATCAACAGGAGGGCGTAAAGTAAAAAAATGTTATGAGCGGAATGTAACAATGGCGCCCAGCGGCCAGCTTAGCCTGGATCACACTGTTCATATTACAGAAATATCAGAGATTGGTTAAAAATTGGCGCCCAACGGTCAACATGTTATGAATAATATATAAATGGTATAAATTGGCGTAAATGGTTAGCAAAGTGGCGCCCAACAGACCGCGATTGTATTACTAGATTGGATTTTCAGATGTAAAAAATCAATAAATGTCCAAGGAAATGATAGATGTTCACCTAGAATAGAACTGAAATAGCTTCCAACGGCTAGTATAGCTTGGATCACACTTGTTTATATTATTGCTATATCTGAGGTTGGTTGAAAAATGGCGCCCAACAGTTAACATGGCATGACTAATATATCAACGGGGGGTCGTAAAAGTAAGAAAAAAATATTATGAGCGGAATGAAACAATGGTGTCCAACGGCCAGTATAGCTTGTTCCACACTGTTTACGTTACAGCAATGTCAGAGGTTGGTTGAAAAATGGCGCCCAACGGTCAACATGGTATGAAAAAATATATAAATGGCATACATTCGTGTAAATGTTTAGCAAAGTGGCGCCCAACAGTCCGGTCTTACATTATTAGATTAGATTTTCATTTGTAAAAACATCAATAAATTTCCAAGGAGAAGAGATTTATAACTAGAAAAGTATTGTATTGGCACCCAATTGTTTTGGAAATTTGGTTTAAAGTATACACCTAAACAGTGTTTGGGATCACATTCTTTATATTTCAACAAAATCGGTATTTACAAACATTTGAAATTCAATATTTAAAAAAATGGCGCCCAATAATCCAAGAAATCGCTTTCAGGTTCAAATTATTGACATTATTTTAAACAGAGTTGAGTTGAGGGTACATAAACAGCTAGGCATGTTAATGCCAAATTATAACGGACAACGACGGCAGGATTTCAGTCCGGCTCTGGAATCCCTTTATGATATGTCACAAAATATGCCATGCGAAGACTTCAAGCTGTTTATGTACCCTCACCATTACAGTTTCAATTCCCCTAGCACACACATTTATAAATTAAAAAACATTTCACAATATTTTTTCCTTTTTCATACAAAAAAAAAAAATAATACAAAAATGTGTTCTATGTTTTTTTAACAAATTCATACATATGTATATATATAAAAACAGAAATTCGAAAACAATATTTGCTCTATATTCGTATATAAAAACAACTATTTTGCTTAAACTAGGCTCTTGACTTAATTACGTTATTGTTGTTTTTCTTTGTTTTGTTTTTTTTTTTTGTTTTGCTTTTTCTAAGTATTCGTTTTGCTTAGGTTTTAGGCTTGCTGCGTTTTTGCATTCAAATTCCAAAGAAAAAAAAAAGTAATCAACGGAGTCCAGAGAGTTGTTCCCTGGAACTCCCCATGTCCTAAGATGATTTCATCAGCAAAATGGGCCAGTACAAAAGTACGAAAACAAAAAATAATATTGGAAAGACGGCCCGAGAAACTTTGTCAATTTCACGCCACATAATTTTTTCCACGCCCGTTGTGTCATCGGTCCAGGCTACCGAGAGTAGACTTTGACGTCTGGCCGGTTTTGGTGGCCCACCGTTGCCCTGTAATGAAGTCTGCAAGTATATAAATAGAAATTTAAGGTTATCTGGGTGTTAAGTGTGTGTGTGCGAGTGTGTTTGTGTGAGTAATGTCTGCAAGCGAGTCATATGTGTGTGTGTGCGCGTGTGTGTTTGAGCACGTTGGTATCGGTGTTTGTTTGCCTCATGGTAATGGAGTTTTTAAGTCAAGGACGTTTCTTACCTGGCCCGGTGTAGTTGGCGTTTGTGTAGCCTTGCGTGACCGTACAGCCCCACCTTCCCAACTAGCTACGGTTGCACATTGACCTTTTTCCATGTTGCTTAGACGCTAAAAAAAGAAATGGTCAACAGACCGACAAACGAGAAACAATAATCATCGATTCATTTACATACATAGCACATGTTTTGTTTTGCTGTATGCAGTTGTCTATCAATTACTGCATATTTGGAACTTGAAATTGCCTTTTTTTGTAGGGTCTACACGGGGGTAAATGGCGGATATAAATAGAAGAGGAACCAGAATTTGGGAATGTATGTAAGATATGTATGAACGTAAAAAACCACAATAAAAACCAATTGACTTTCTAATATCCGTTACCAATGTCGCATTGAATTGATGTGAGGACTCAAAATACCTCAATTATAGTGAAGGAACTTGTTAAAATTCACCGCTAAAACAAGAAGAGGGGAAGCGGATCAGTGTACTATGACAAATATTTCGAATCAGTTTGGCGCCCAACGCAATAAAAATATCTAAAAACATATATTTTCTTTTATTTTCTATTTTATTCATTCTTCGGAACGTAAGAGAACGCAATTGGTGATATTGTTTAATAAGAGCCATTACATTATTTCCTTAGATAAAATTTTTTTAAATCAAATTCGAAGAAGTGGGTGAGTGAACTTCTCTTAAGACGGTCAGCAATGTGAGTAAGAACTTGGTTTTCAACATCGATTGTCTGCATATTAGGTTTTTGGCTCCAACATTAAGGCTATTTGCTTTTCATTCTATTTTTCTTAGCTGTGTATGGATACGTAAACAAACATCAGCTGGGAGACTGTAAAGGTGAGAGTACATAAACAGCTTGAAGTCTTCGCATGGCATATTTTGTGACATATCATAAAGTTCCCTCAACTTAAGGGTTTCCTTCTTAGGGTGTATGTAAACATCCACTGGATCTATTAAGCCCAGTGAGTTACTCTGCAATAGTCTAAATGCCCTATTAGATCGTTAATTGTGTTAGGGATACCAAATATGTTGTTTCTATGTATGCACTGAACATACCCCATGCATTAAAGAAAGATACAAATAGGCGACTTCTTCAAAAAATTTAATTTTAAATATGGCAAAATTCCAATAATGGCAAAACAATGGAGGTAGACTCATTTGCTAAATCGAATATGGCAACCCTCTGCCATAATATAGGGGGGGGATGGGTATATTAATCTTTTCATACCGTCTGCAACTCATCAAAGTAATCATTATAGGCCCAACAAAGTGTATGTATTCATGATCATCTTAAAATTCTTATCCGATTTAGCCCGTCCGTCTGTTTCAATCGGGCTATCTTCTGAAGAAATTGAGACAGAGTGCTAAAATTTGTTACACGTGCGTTTTGGGTCTGAACTGAGATCAGGTTCGAAGATGAGCTATATCGGACCACTTTTTCCTATAGCCCCATATAACGGTAAAACTTTCAACGGAATTGTCTGGTATTTTGATGTTTGAATATTGTTACGGGTTCCTAAAGGTGGAAGTACATAAAGAGCTTTTCTGTCTGGCATAAGTCAGTGTTTTTAGGTTGACTTAGTTCGATTTTCTCCCTAGGCTCCTTTGTTCATTTCCGAAGAAGTCAGCCGTTGACTTAAGCTAGCCAAATAAGCGCTTTATATATTCCCACCTTAACCTCCTTGCAAAAACAGTTTTTATAAATATAAATAGGTTAACTCGAGGCATTTGAATTAAAATTTTCTTATCCATTACTTATACTTTAAATAATCCTCTTGAAGTGGATTAACCCTGCAAAAGTTCTAACGTAAACATGGCATAAGTCCACACTGTGGTATATCTCCACCCTATATTCGGAAGGCAACAATCCTCAATTTTTTCAACGTAATTGTTTGAATTTTTTTTCCGTTTCATTTTTACACCCTCCACCATACTATGGAGGGTATATTAATTTTGTCTTTCCGTTTGTAACTCCTCGAAATACTCATGTCAGACCCAACAAAGTATATATATTCTTGATCAGCGTAAAATTCTAAGACGATTTAGCCATGTCCGTCTGTCTGTCTGTCTGTTGTAATCACGCTATCTTTCGAACAAATTGAGATAGAAGGCAAAAATTTTGTACACATGTATATTTTGCCAGTAGGCAGGTTAAGTTTTTAAATGGGCCATGTAGGTCCAAGTTATCATATAGCCCCCATATAACGGTACCTCCCGATATTCGGTATTTTGATGATTTTAGCGACATTATTCACCGGAATTGTTTCAAATTTGGCATTTGAAGTTCTTAAGGGATACTACAGCGTAAGACAGAAAATTATCTGTGCAGGTCTACGTCTTCGTGTAGCCCCCATATAACGGTACCCCCCGATATTCGGTATTTTGATGATTTTAGCGACATTTTTTAGCGGAATTGTTCCAAATTTGGTATTTGAAGTTCGTAATAGATACTGCAGCATAAAACAGAAAATGGGCCATGTAGGTCCACGTCTTCATATAGCCCCCATATACCGTACCCCCCAATATTCGGCATTTTGATGATTTTAGCGACACTATTTACCGGGATTAGTAGTGTGCTTATGGGGATGTTGGGAATTCACCACGATTTATCACGGCAAATTCTATTGGGGATGTTGATTTGGGTAAATTCACCACGGTGAATTTTAATGGGGATGTTGTCTTGGGAATTGTACCACGGCAAATTCTATTGGGGATGTTGATTAGGGTAAATTCTCCACGGTGAAATATATTGGGGATGTTGTCTTGGGAATTGTACCACGGCAAATTCTATTGGGGATGTTGATTGGGGGAAATTCAGCACGGTGAAATATATTGGGGATGTTGTCTTTTGAAATGTACCACGGTGAAATATATTGGGGATGTTGTCTTTTGAAATGTACCACGGTGAATTATATTGGGGATGTTGTCGTTTGAATTGTACCACGGCAAATTATATTGGGGATGTTGTCTTTTGAATTGTACCACGTCAAATTTTATTGGGGCTGTTGGCGTTGGCGTTGCTAGTTTTAATATGAACTACTAGATGGCGCTAAGTTTAGCGCAGACACAATCCAAAACTGTGTATGGGATGGTGAAATTTCAAGTTTTAATATTCACCACTAGCAGAGACACCCTCCGAAAAAAAAAATGTATTATGATCATATCGAGTGGGGCTAAAGAGATTCAACATGTGAGAAGTGAATATAGCAGAAACACATCTGAAAGAGGTAAGTATCGAAGAAAATCATTTTATCTAGATGGCTCTCAGAATGCTTTTACATAGTCAACATGCTGATTACTGCAGTCAAATGTGCTTATTAATTTATTTGAAAACATATATTTCAAGAAATCGACTTCAATAAATGTGATATATTATAGAAGAGTTTCAATTGACAAATATGCTGCAATTATTGATATTTCAGGGGTTTTAATTTCAGCATAGATGAAAATATAAATGAAAATATAGACAAAGAAATGACATCGAAAAATTCCGGAATAATCAAGTGAAATTCTTGAAAAACGATAACGAAGTCGAGTGGGTTGAACACGAAAATCAGCATGTTGGCTATGCAAAACATGATGAGATAAAAAGACAAAACTAACTTTTCGTTGTACTTGTTTTAATTTGTCTATAATTTTAGCGACTCAAAAATGTTCAGTTATTCCCATCGAAACGATATAGGCGACATCTAACGGTGAGTTCTATCTATACTATCCATAAATTATGTTGTAGCATAGACACACTCCAAAACTATTGAAATATGATCATATCAAATGGGATTAGAGAGATCCACCATATGAGAAGTGAATATAGCAGAGACAAATTTGGTTAGTATCATAGTCAACAAGAAGATGTGTGTTCTATTATTTTGTCCAGATGGCTCTCCAGTCATTTCCCTCGAAACGATATAGGCGACATCTAACCACCAATTAATGTTGTAGCATATACACACTAAAAAAATGCTGCTGTAGCCAATCAAAGCAAATTCTTCTTGTGTGGACAGGCATTTTGGTACATTATATCGATCGCTTTTTGATAGTTTTGTCGATGAAGAATTTGTTTACATTATGTAGCAATTTGAGAGAATTGAAACTGAAAGAGTTTCATGACAAACCCTGCATCAATTCGGTATTGAAGATTGAAGGGATTTGAAGAAGGAAACACCATTGTTTACATTAACTAACAATTGGATTTCTGTGAAATGGATATGAGAATTTGGGGGGAAGCGTTGTTGCAGAGTTTCATGACAAATTCTGCTTCAATCATAGAATTTCTATTTGTTTACAAAATGTAGTCAATAATGTATTGATTGGATTGGAAGAAATTTCAGTACTCAACAAGTCACAGATTAATAAGCATCGTTTCTTAATATTTTTAAAAAAGTTTTTATAATGTCTCAAAAAATTTGTTGGTCATGCAGCCTTTATTTCAAGGAAAAAAGTGAATTTGTGAAACATATGAAAAAGCATTGTATGTTTTGTGATGTTTTATGTGAAAGTGTAAACGATTTAGAATTGCACTTAGAGAACCATCATGGAGATGAGCATGTAATAAAACAAAATCGGGATCAACAACAAGAAAAACTAAAGCAGCAGCATGAAAATAAATCAGCTGTGAAGGTGGAAAAGTTTTGTGGTGATTGTGATAAAATTGTGAATAATATACGATCACACGTTCGTAGCGAAGAACATCGATCCACCGTGAGAAAAAATCTGGATTCTGACATAAAAATTGTTAAAAGTGCATTTAACAAAAATATACTCAGCTATGAGATACAAAACAATAAAGACATTTTGTACCCGATCGATTTTCTTAATGCTTCAAAAGAATTAATAATTAAAACCTTAAAAAATGAGTTAAACGGTAAAACGCTCATAAAATTTAATATGGAACTCCAAGGACTATATGTGAAACCAAACAATGAAAAAGATGGACCTTCAACTTCCAAAGAGTTAACTATTGAAAATATATTTAATCATATTTCAAAAACAACGCTATTAACCCTGGGAGATGATTTGGAAGAGGTTGTTTTCAACCACTGTGTGGAAATTATAGCAAAATCAGAAGAGTTCCAAGAAAGAGGCTCTAATTGGGCCCT